CATTCTTCATACTATGTTATCAATGCCTGTACAACATCCTTCATAGAGCCTGTATAACATTCTTCATACTATGTTATCAATGCCTGTACAACATCCTTCATAGAGCCTGTATAACTTTCTTCATACTATGTTATCAATGCTTGTACAACATCCTTCACAGAGTCTGTATAACATTCTTCATACTATGTTATCAATGCTTGTACAACATCCTTCATAGAGCCTGTATAACATTCTTCATGCTATGTTATCAATGCTTGTACAACATCCTTCACAGAGCCTGTATAACATTCTTCATACTATGTTATCAATGCCTGTACAACATCCTTCATAGAGCCTGTATAACATTCTTCATACTATGTTATCAATGCTTGTACAACATCCTTCACAGAGCCTGTATAACATTCTTCATACTATGTTATCAATGCTTGTACAACATCCTTCATAGAGCCTGTATAACATTCTTCATACTATGTTAAGAATGCCTGTACAACATTCTTCACACTACATTAACAATGCCTGTATAACATTATTCACACTATGTTAAGAATGCACTACGTTAACAGTGTGTGTACAACATTCTTTACACTACGTTAACAGTGTGTGTGTGTACAACATTCTTCATACAGCCTGTAAAAGATTCTTAACAGCAATGAATGGTGTGTACAACATTCTTCACCTAGTTTTGAACAATGATATACTTCCCACAGCCTGCACAGTGCCTGAATAAGTTATCATAAGGAATAAAGAAAGACAGACTGAATGAAGTCATAAACTTAAAAATCCTAGTTCTATAATATAAGATCATGAACTTGAAATTCCTAGTTCTGTAATATAGGACCATAAATTTGAAATACTCAAATAGTTTCCTGTCTTGAATAATCTGATTAATAAATCAAAATATCTTTAAATTATAAAAAAATATTACAACATTAACATGAAATAAAATTAATTTTAAGATCACAAATAGCTATAGCTGCATAGTTTACAATCAAGTTCTGATGCCTTACTTTTCACAGCATTACCTGAAATATATCCAACATAGCTCTACAAAACTCATCCAATGTATAAACAATATGAACATCACAATCTGAGAGGCGAAGCTGGAGATAAGACGAAGGATCAGCATCTACATCCCACCTTTCTTCTGACCATTTGTCAGATTCAGACTTTCCAGTATTGCTTGAAACCTGTTCCTGATAGCAGTATCTACATAAAATTCAGTATGAACCTCAGTATTAGTTAAATGATAAACATACAGTCATACACATCAAATGAAACAGTAGCAAAAAATATCATACGAGTTTTAGTAGCATAAGTAGATATTACTTGGGAGAATAAAAATAAAATAAGTGAGCAGACAGTCTCAGAATAAGACAAAAAAAACATTTATTAATACTGACATACTCTAATCAAAAGCACATAATCCTCAGAACTGATTAATCTTCTGTTGCTTCATGTGTGGCATAAATAAGTATTTTTAAATATGAGAAACAAGTTTCCATCATTTCAAGTTTTATAAAAAAAATTCAAGAGTTTCAAATCTCAAGGTATTTTAAGTCTAATAGATGTAGAGTCGTCAACTTTTTGAAGGCCATAGATAGGCCTAAATAAAATGTTTTTAATTGTGTACCAGTTTAACGTTGAATATTATTTATGATTTTAACTTTATACACAAGTGCCAAAATACTATAATAACTCTGAGTGTTATTCTAAAATATTAATGTTAAACGTTATAATTTTCTTATACTGAAAATGTCTTTCCGATAGGTAATTACCGCCATTCACATAAATAGCTATTCTTGTTCAGTGCTGCCCTCTATATAAAAAAAATAATTCATGCCACAATCCTTTTATCTTCCCTCAATTGGAACTGACTGATTCCAATGTGTCTCTCTTGCAAATCATCATGAGACAACCCTCCACCAATAATAGTACAATATACTCTCATGACGCATGCGATGACGCATGCGGCTCCCTCTATTCAATTCTACCGAATTATCACTTTAGAGTTTTGGCAAAAGACAGAAGCACCAGTTTTCAATGGGGAGGAAGAGTGGGAAGTGTGAGAGGAGATAGGTACCTACTGGAAATACATTTTCAGTTTTGCAAAATTATAACTTCTGAAACAGTACATTACCTCCTCTTATATAAATAGCTAGAATCCCACACTGAATAGGTGGAGGGACCGGTGCGAGGGAAAGAAAGCAGCATCCTTCAGAGGTGTCCAAAGGACACTCCCTAAGATAAGATAGTTAGATTCTAAGATCTGATGTGGGGGACTGCACTACTTCTGAACCAGGTATGCTCTTTGCACATCACAAAAATACGTCACAATATGGGTGGAAAAACAGACAAGTACATCCAAGTGGGAGAGAACTAAGGTCGGATAGTGATCCGAACCATACAATATTTATGAAGCTCTATCCCACAAAATATAAAAGTGAGTAAAATTAAAAGGATGTGTCCTAGGTGCAGAGTGGCTAGGGTGTGACGGACCATACATGGCAAGTCAACTAAATCCAAAACTCAAGCCGTTGGGAACCAACATCCATGTGGGGGTAGGAAAGAGGATCATACCAGTGGCAAGTCAACTTCAATCCAAAACCCAGCCATCTGGTGAGGGTAGGAAAGAAAATCATACCATCTTCACCTCAAGTTCATAAGACTGGAGGGAATCAAGAACCCCCATACCCATGAACAAAGCATATGTTAATATAAGAAACTGATAGATTGATCAGGGAACCCGACATCCGGTATCAAAAAGATGTCTCCCTAATGCAAACCATCTCCCTCAAAATTGGAATTGACTGAAACTGCCCTAAGCAGAGTAACATCCTCAAAATAATAAGCATGAAGGGATGGTGAAAGGGGAAGAACCTTAATAAACTGCAAGTACCTCCACTTTGATCCACAACATGGATGGAGTAATAAGAGTATAATTTAGGGAGGAATAGACATCTTTAATACATGTGTGAGGACTTATGTTGATTGGTTCAACTCTAAATCGAAAACCTAGCCATATGAGGGTAGGATGAGGGATCCCAATCTAAGGCGTGAACTGCAGTTTTGATGGTTCACTCCCATTTATATTTATTTCATATTTAAGAATATCACACCATCTACACCAGCAGAACACCACCGCCCTTCTCTCAACTGAATGGTTTTATAATAATTTCTATATTTTGTTTGTATTTTGTATTTCATTAACCCATTCAAGAGGATGCCTCCACAGTCCACCACTACAGTGGCTTGGAACTGGAAAATGGTAAGGACTCTCAAACTCCACTAGAAAATGCGGTGGAGAGTTTGGAGAAATAACAACACCTGAGACAGTGTAATGGATGAGCCCAAAAGCCTATTTTTAAAAGCAGAACATACCAATTTATTTAATACAAGGCATGGCAGAGATGGGCAACTATCCCCTTCTGCTTTACCCATGTAGTCCATAGGCGAGTAAGGTCTAGGACAGGCAAATTTTTTAAGGAATTCAATTGCGAGGATAAAACCTACAAGCAATCTCTGCAGTGTGCCTTGTGTGGTAATGGAAATATAATATGTAAGTCGACATGGCCCTACAGTGCAAGTTTGATTAAAGAATACCTGGTTAGGCACCACTCGCCATAGAGTGGGATCCAAACAATGAGTAATAATAAAAAGGGAAAAAACCACTGAAAAGAAATAAAGAATAATAAAAAACTTACCCAGTTAAAGTCTAAATAATGGCTACAGGCAGAAGACGATAGCCTGAAGAGGAAGAAACTGGGTTCCTATTGAAATGGTGAGAGATGAACGTATTAGGGGTAGTCAACATGCCCGATTGAAGAATTTCCTCCAAGGGATGATGAAGATGAGATGTCAATGAAAATGTATGGTATCGATTTTTGATGAGAAGGCACCTGAAACAAAGAACTTGAGGAAGACAGTAACCATGAATAAGCCAATCAAATTAAAAGCTGAACCCAATTGGTGAGGGTGGAAGGAGAAAGATCACTAACAGAGGATGGCTGCCAAGGAATAAAGAGGTGAGAATGGGCACCATGGAAGGAAGCCATGCAAGCAATATAACAGTGAAGAGCATGTGCAGGATGTAGAAGTCTATCCAGATCAGGCCGAGAATAAAGGTGTGAAATGGAAGTGAAATCAGCGAAAAGAAGGAATAGTTACCCTCACGAGCCACCAAAGTTTTGGGAAGACAAGAACAATCCAGATAAAGTAGAAGATATGTAAAATGATAAAGAGCTTTTAGCTTCTGGACGTTGAAGGTCTCAAGTCTTAAGGGAAAGGTAAAACAAGGAGCATGTGGAGAGTGATTTGAATGGAGGCAAATTGAGGCAGTGAAGGACCAAGTTAACATCCCAATCTGGAAGAGCAGCCCACCACAGCAGATGATGAATCCAGAAGTAATGCATCAACAGAAAAAGAGTAGGAGAGGTAAGTACCCAACAGTATCAGGAAAAATGAAAGGTATGGGACAAGGATGCCCAATAACTCGCGATCAAGGAGACAGAAGACCCCCGATTGAAAAGCCAAGTGAGGAAATCTGCAATATGAGGAGCAGTGGTTTGAGCAAGGAAAACCCTTGACCCAGAGACCAGCAGCAGAAAGCATTTTATTGACATTGATAAACTTCTATGGAGGAAGGGCGAATGTAATGAGCCAGAAAAGAAGCTACCCATCAGGACAGGCCAGATCTCCTCGCCAAGGACCAGATAAAAATCAGGTGTGAAGAAGGAGGAAGGAAGGTCCGAACGAATCAACAGTGACCGAGGTTGATGAAAAAAGGACGGAGTCAGAGGAAGAGGTAATGGAAGGGTAAGTTGGAGGTGAAGAAGCTGCAAAAACCAAGGCTGAGCTGGCCAGTAAGGAGCAATTAGAAGGGCTTGACACAGAGTGGCATGGATGATTGAAATCACCCAATGAAGAAGTTTTAAGGCAGGATAGACATATATGTATTTGTTGGTCCAGTCTTGGCTAAAAACATTAACAGCCAGAGCAAGAGGATAAAGAACCAGAGACCAAAACAGAGGCAGTTTGTGGTTGAGAGACATGGCAAAAGCATCGATTTGAGGATTACTCCACTGAAGGCAAAGCAACTGGAAAACAGAGAGAGAGAGAGAGAGACAGTGCACGCAACTGATAAACCACTCCATGGTGAACAAACCAGAGATAGAATCACAACTGATGAAATATTGTGATATGCAAATAAGCATCTGACACATCCATCTTGGTCATCCATAAATCCGAAGAAAATGCCCACCTGATGGTGAGAAACGACTACATGATGAAAAGGGGCAGATTTAGAAATTGATTGAGGTAGGACAAATCTATTAAAGCTGCCAGTTTCCAGTTTTCTTGGGGACAGCAAACAGCATGGAATAAAAGCCTGGAGAAAGATGATGAACAGGTTCGATGGCCTGTTGAGACAGAAGGTCTTGTACCGCCTCCGACATATGCTAGCTGGTGGTAAGATTCCAGCAACAGAGAAACCACGTGTGTAAAGCAAGAGCCCAATAAGAAAATCTAGCCAACATGGAAGTAATAAGGGAAAGGCTTTCCCTCAAAAACTCTCAGGGTCTTGGTGGATCACCTCAGAAAGGCGATAGATAGTAGATAAATATTGTAGATGGGAAGCAATGGCAAGACAAAGGCATGAAATGCACAGGAAATTCAGAGACCACAGATAAAATAGACCGCCAACTGTTGAGAGTCAAGAAACGGACAGTTAGCCTGATGGTAAGCTAATGCAAACTGATCTGTAGCCCATGGAGAGCAAGGCATTCCTCAACCAGGGAGGGTGGGAAAACTACATAAGGAGAGGATGAACTATTGTGCAACAAAGAACGATAGGTATCAAAGGAAATCGGGGAAATGGATAAAACATCAGCTTATTCCATAGGTGGGGCATAGGAGGACACGGCAAAATCTGGTGGTGGGACAAATTCAATCTCATGGCAGATAATCACAGATAAATCCAACAACAGGTTCCCCCCTACCTACAGCCTGTGAAAAAGTGCTAGTAGGAGGCAAGATACTCGAAGTGGTAACATGAACCTTAGAATAAATTGTATGAGAAAAAATAAAGACTGGGAAAGGAAGTTAAATTAAAATACTTCTTCAATGTAAAGAAAAAAGTTTTAATGAAGAAATCCCAATCTGGAAATTAAACGATTAAAGTCACGAATGCAAATCACATGAAGAGCACAAAAGGAAAACACACACATCTAAACAGGAGTACTGCCAAACATGAAGTGATACTTCGGTACAATTGAATAAAGGGAGTCACATGCATCATGAGAGTATGTCATTCTTATTGGTGGAGGGTTGTCTCATGATGAATTGCATGAGAGATGCATTGGAATCAGTCGATTCCAACTGAGGGGAGATAAAAGGCTTGTGGCATGCGTAAAAAATTTTTGAATAGAGGGCAGCACTGAATGAGAATAGCTATTTATGTGAGCGGAGTTAATGTACCATATCAGAAACAGTTTGTCTTTCTATTTTAAAAGCATTAGGTAACGTTAACTATATGATCACATATAATTATTCAGAAATACCAGTTACAACTTCATAACATTTTTTATACAAAATTATTTTTTAAATCTATCCAAATACACAAGATATTATTGTTTTTTTTCATTTATTACTAAAAATATTAATAATATTTTAATTAAAATAAGATAAAAAGTTTAGATATTATTCTTTAATGTTTACTTGGAATCATTGCTTTCTAGTGCACTCTGGCATAAGGATTCAGGCCATTCGGACTTGGGAATGTTATAAAATATAGCCCACTTCACTGCACCTGTATTATCGTTAAAACAAGTCAACTCTGTTAGCAACTCTCGCTGGAGGTTTGGATCTTGACCAACAGCTTCCTGGAGAGAGAATATTTTAAAGCCACTCAAAAATTTCCCTCCAATCACAGTTATCAGATATTTTGAAATTGATATAACATCAAAAATTTGGCTTAAATCACAGTTATCTGTTTTTTGAAATTAATAAAACATCACAAATTCATCTTAAACCACAGTTACCTGTAATTTTAAAATTGGTAAAAGATCAAAAATTCTGAATTCAGTTCTAAAGAGTGTTTACAAAGAAAGATTAAATTTATTTAAAGAAAACTTTTGTTCTTTTAAGAGCAGAACTATAATAATTCTAGTATTAGGAGATAAACCTGTGAATGTATGTACTAAAATTATTTGACTACTTAAACACTCTTTATCAAAAATTTTGATTTAAACAGATATAGACAGGATTGAATCCTGGACTACCCATATGTGCTTTACCATTTGAGCCAAAGCCCAAAGATTTTTTTTCACATGTGCATCATTATTAAGTGAAATATTATACATATGAGAATGGTACATGTTTTTCAATAGACTAATCTTTTAAATAACACTGTTGTTGTAATATGTAGTTGGACATGAATTAAACAAAAACTACTAAACAGAATATCGAGCTGTTTTTAGATTTAAAGTAAAGTGAAAAAGAATGGAATGACTATAAACAAAATATATCTCTGTACACAAAATTTTTTTTGTATAAATATCTTGTCTTTGTGGATAATCACCATTTTTGACTAAAATTTTAAGATCTTTTCTTGAACAAACTCTTGAGAAGCAGCATTATAAACTAATCACAACATAGTGATTCTTTAAAATTATTTTATCAAGAAGTGTAAAAATCAACTGTCTTCATTTGTTGTTATTTCACTTATTTTTCTTTTTTCTCTCCTTCAAAGTATTATGAAAGTGTCAGGTCCACTACGACCAATAACTTTAAACATTATTGTTGATTTTTATGTGCCTGTATTGAAATAGTTGAAAATGTATAAAAGTTATAAAATAGTAATTTTTTTTAAATTATGGTATAAAGAAGTGTAAAAATAAATTGTCATCATTGTTTGTTTTTTTGGAAATTTCTTGTTTGTTTATGAATCTAAATCACAGTTGTATATCATCTGAAACCTGTAATTATTTTCTTTTGCCCAATCTGTTAGCTGAAGACCAAATAAAATGAATGAAGTTGTTAGTTGTGACTATTAAGACTATGCACCATAATTTATATAGCAGATTAACTTGTACTTCACATACAAAGCATATTAAAACTTTAGGCCTAATTGTCAATTTTTAGGCCACTTTTAGAATTTGTATTGAGATGTAATGGTATTCCATTATTTATAAGCCACGGAAAGGTAAAGAATTAACTTAATGTGTTTCCTTGCATGTTTATTTATGTAAATGAAGTAACTGTCTTAAATTTTAATGTTATATACACTGTAGTTTTGCACTCATACAAAATAATGCACATTAAATGTAAATAACATTTGCACTTGTGTACACATAAAAGTATCAATAAACAAGTAGCCAATAGGAATATATGGTTTCTAGGTTTCTTACTGACACACATTGTTCTTACTGACACACATCGTTCTTACTGACACACATTGTTCTTTTAATTATATAGATAAAATCAATGAAACACATACTGACTACCACATATTGTTCTTTTAATTATATAGATAATTTCAATGAACAAAATAACTGAAAAAGAAGAGTGTGAGGCAAAATTTGTATTTCATTGGTTTAAGAAAGGAAAAGAAGTCTGATGGAAAATTATTCTTAAATTTATTTTGCAAGATCCTCAGAACACGTATGATAGAACAAGTTCTAGTTACAACCTCAACATTTAAATTGTATCTTGTACAAAAAACAAGAGTTAGAAAAACCTGTATTTCAAAATAATACAAGATCTACTGATTTGTATTATCTATGTCTTTTATATCCAATACATAATTTGCATGTTCAAGAACTGTTGATGTATAACACAAACCACATAAAAGTTTGATATCACTTATAAACTTAGAATGAAGGACAGCCACTTAAGTATAAAATACAATATTAGTTTCTCCTTGCTGTGAGGAATCTCTGGAGATCTCACACGATCCAGTAATCTTTTAACAACTTTCATATTTTATCAGTTTTATTGACATTAAACTATGGGCCAGAGAACTGACCTGTGGCTCAAACAAATAAAACTTAAATTACACATAATCTTCCTATAATTGGCAGATATCTTTAACTTTCTGATTTGGATTCCAAAATTATTTCCTGGGATTAATCTTTTGCTCATAAACAAATGGACTCTGAATGGAAGAGATTTATGAATATTTCTATCGCCTAGAACAGTTGTTAGAGGACAGATGATTTAGTTCAACTTTTGCCATGACTTTAATAATGTTTTGAAACCTTTTCACAAAAGACTGCCCCATAGGAGTTTTGTGTCAGTAATTTCATGACCTTTGCCTATTTGTTGAAACATCTTACATAATGTCCTGGATAATTAATAAAACCTGAACCAACTACTTTGGTTAAATGTGTTTTACTAACTTTATGAAATTTTGAATATTTCAGCTAAGGGATTTAACTTGACAATACAACTTCCATTTTGTCTGTGATTATATAATATGAATATTAGGATAAATGAAATTATTACAAGCATCAAGTGTATGTCTTTAGAATATATAATCAATGACAAAAACAATTTCTAACTTCTGTATGTGTCACAAAGAATGACTTAAAGTTTACTGTCCAAAAAAGCTCATTCAAAATCAACTTGTGTTTTGCTTGTATATTGTAGCGAGTCTGTGAAAAATAAACACTAAAAATGTTTACCTATCCAACAAAACATTTGTGGGTAGTCTCAGAGTGGTATGAAGGAAGAATGCAAGAAATATTTACCTATCCAACACAACATATTTGTAGGTAGTGTCAAAGTGGTATAAAGGATGAATGTAAGAAATATTTACCTATCCAACACAACATATTTGTAGGTAGTGTCAAAGTGGTATAAAGGATGAATGTAAGAAATATTTACCTATCCAACACAACATATTTGTAGGTAGTGT